GGGTGTATTCAAGTTGAACGATCAAACTGTGCCAGGAAGTTCTGTGAATCCAAATAAGATGACACTATTCTGTAATCATAGGCTCGAAATAGCTTCGTTTAAAAGTTATTATAAAATTGTTCAAATAAAGAAACCGGTAACTAGCTTGCTGTACATTATAATAAAAAAATAAGTAATGTTTGTAATATGTTTATTTGATACATCACATACTAGGTATGATCAAAGATAAATAAATCGTAGAAGCGATTGAGAATAAATATGCAACAGAAATTGATTGGCATGATCAACGATGCACTCAGAGACATTTGCACGATCGTCACGAAATTTGTATAGCGCTGAATTAAAATTTTTAACCGTGTCAATTTTGCAATCAGTGTCAATGGCAGTCGACATTTTGATATGAAGAATTAATTGTAAGTAAATATTCATGCCATGAATATGATATAACTTTTATTTGTACCGTCATAATTTTTGAATATGTTTGAAATCAACATTTATATAATATTTTCAGTGTATTTTCGTTCACAAAACAAACTGTCACAGTTCGATTATTTAACTTGGGGACTCTGCGGATATTATGCACAACTCGCGTTTAAATTTTCAACATGTCACTTTATATTAGCCATGTCCTTAATATTTCGATGCTATGAAAATAAATTCAGGTGCTCAAATTATCCGAATTTCGGTTTTTTCAAACTAATCAATGATCGAGCGTATCACTTTCGTAGATAAAAGCAAAAATCCGTAGTCTAAACGATCTCAATTATGCTCAAATTTGAGCACGTATGATATCGAACGACGTTAAATCCACGATATGGTGTTTCATGAAATTGAAGACAATGACTGACAGTACATCTGTTGGCACTGTACATTAATGTATTGCAACCGTATGCCCATCAATTACACCACAAAAGCTTCACCGCATACAAGGGCCAATGCATGAATGAAATCACTGGTAATGGACGAGAACAACGAAAACAGCTTGAGACAAATTGTAACGAAACGTACGAGTCTGTCGCGTAGATATCGATCATCGTCGGGAACTCGAAAAGATTTATTTATCACTCGGAAAAATTGTGCTCTCCCGACGGGTTACATTCGTTTACATTCGTTACGAAACCTTCCTTCAAATATTTGTGAAAAATGGCAGAATGTAAATGTTCTCATTTAAATTTCCCAGTATAGGGAAGTAGAAAGTTGCCTTTATTTACTCTACTAAATTTTACACTCGCACAGACCCCTTGCTCACTCTACTGAATTGTACAAAAGTTTCGATCGCTGCTTTTCACACGACTGGATTCTGCTGGGGCAGAATTCTGTTTCTACGTCCGTCATCAAATTCGACTGAAGCGACACTTTAATTCCATTAGCAGTATCAAAACTTACTAATTACCTGCATAAAACTTATTGCATAACTGTCATTGCATTAAAGCGAAAGCACTTTATCCATTGAATTCTATTGATATAATGCTTCACTTAGGCTCATTCTGGCTAATAAACTCAATTAAACTGTACTTTCATCGACGTTGTTAAAGTTTACCGAAAGAGACACTTTTACTGACTGTGCTCAATTCTGCCCAAGTATTGAACTAATCAAGGCCACAATATTAAAATTGAATACTTGTTCGTAAAAGAAATATAAAATTTCGTATCTGGTGGCTACTCAAATGATGTCGAGAATCATTTAATTGTAGTAGCAATCAAAAAGACAACTATCTGCAAAATTATAAATTCCTTTACTAATTGCAGTAGAGCTTGAACGAGTGAAACGACTAAAACATTTCCACAGTCCTATCTCCATGTTATCGTTTAAATCCAGGATCCTGCTAATTAAAGACCGCTTGGTCCAAATCACAGTAGTCAATTATCCAACGAGTATCGAGCGATCATATCTACGGAGCGCACGGGCTCGGAGAAACAGTTTCATCCAGCTGTCAAACCTCGCCTGACGTGTCTAGTTTCGCAATAAAGATCTGGCGCAATCAGAGAAGCAAGGAATAAGGCCGAACCGTCTGTCACGCCTTTATTCGCCAAGCAGGAGGACCGGTGTAAGGTATGCGTTTCTCTACGAGCAAAGTGGCAATATACGCGGAACGAGGCAAGGGCGAGTGAAGAGTAACAATGCGAGCGGAGAAAAGAAGACTAGTGCAGATAAAAGGAAAAAAGGAAGAACTCCTCTCTGCTGGATCGCGAACAGAAGCGACAAAGAGTTCGGTGCAAGGATCTGTAGGAGCCATCTTAGACTAAAGGTGACGAATTGGCGGCTCGCGTGTCGCTCGAGGCCTGTACCCCCACTTTTCTGTTCCGCGCAGGCGCAGTGGGACTACCCCCTCTACTCAACAGAGGTGGGACCAAGGCCCGCGTGGCAGCTATGACTCATAACTAGTGTGGGACTCTGATAGTGGGGTTCTTTTAGACCAGGACTGAGGAACTTGCGGTCCTTACCAGTTGACTTCTACAAGTATACAGTGAGGAGTAAAACTGAATACACGTACGATATTTCAACAAAAATCATTTTTTATTCAATATGTGCATGTAGAATACAAAAAAGACAAAATACTTAGTATTGTCTACAATCTTCTGGCTTTTAAAAACAAATTTAACATTTGCGATGCCATTATTATTTCGCTTTGTAGAATTTTTTTTTCGTGTGGTCAGTTTTGTACCGCAATTAATTTTGAGTAAACATTTCGAATTTTGGTACACATAATATTTTGTTCATAAATCTTTAACCTTGATACGTTTATACATACTTAATACTACATTTTCGTAATACTATGATGTAATAGAATACCATTGTTCTTGCACTCTTTGCTACAAATCAGTCATCGTTGTTAAGGGAGCATTTATTTTCTAACTTCATTTTTAAGTATGCTCATACATTTTCAATCGGGGTTATGTTTGGGTTTTGAGCAGACCATTTTATGGTTTAAAATAGTTGAGTTTGCAGCCAAATTCATCAAGTTGTTCGCACAATACCTAGGAGTTGGAATACAACATCACGTATACTAGTTCACTGTACCTTCTATTCGATATACTGAACAACCCTACAGTAATATACCCCCACACTATAAGTGAACTATCATCAAATTTCACTGTTTGCTTCACATAACGCGGTAAAAGAGCGATAAATCTTGCTTTTTTTTAAATCAACGACGTCCATTCGATGAAATTCGATTGATTTTTGATTCGTTGGCAATAATTACTTTTTTCCATTGCTCCATATTCTTTCTTAAATGTTTTTTTGAAAAATTCAAACGGGCCGTGATATTCTTTTTTGATGGGACAGGTACTTTTTTCCTCAATTGCTGTAAAATTGGTTTCTATTAATGCTCTTCGAACTGTCCACTTACTAATTTCCTTTAAAACATCGCTTTCTAATAGCTTTGCAATCATTGATGTTGTCGTTGCAATTCTGAAGTAATATATCTTGTCAATGTTCTCTTATCCTGACAAGATAATAATTTTGGACGATCTCCAAAAGATACGAGGACTTCATTACATTTTCTCCGCATTTTATGTACAACTCCCTGACTAACAGCAAATTTTCTAGCAATTACTTGCGTTGATAAACTCAATATTAATTGGAAAATGATGTTATTTTTTATATCTTTAGATAATGGTTCCATGACGTTATATTGATGCGATTCTATTGTACCAGAATATTGCAAAAATGTAGTATTAAGTATGTCTAAACGTATTGAAGCAATTATCAAGGTTAAAGGTTTATGGACTAAGTATTGGTTTGGCAACTAAGTAATTGCAGATTTTTTTAATAAAATTAAAGGCAATTTTTCATGGAACGAAATAACTTTAGTTAGTAACGTATTGTCCATTTTTAACAATGACCTTTTGCCATCTTTCAGGCAACATCATAATTTTATGTTCATAAAAGTTCTGGTTTTTATCGGCAAAAAACTGAACCGAGTGTGATTTGATATCATCATCATTATTTAAATTTTTACCTTTGAAGTTTTGCAAATAACGAAACAAATGATAATTTGACGGCGCAAGGTCAGGACTATATGGTGGATGTGACAACACATCCAAACCAAGCTCCACTAGTTTTTGCCGAGTGGCCAAAGATGTATGTGGCCTTGCATTGTCATGATGAGGCACAGTATTTTTACAATTTATCAATTCTGGCCGGTTTTCTTAAATTGCATTATTCAGTTTAGTTAGCTGTTGAATGTACACATCTGAGTTGATCGTTTAGTTGCGTGTGTAAAAGTTCAAAGTAGACGATTCCTTTGTAATCCCACCAAACTGATAACATAATGTTCTTTACACACATAAATATCAACTTTGGTTGTCGTTTGAGCTGGTGCATCTTGCTTGCTCCACGATCATTTTCGATTGACATTATTGTAAACAACTCATTTTTCATCTCCAGTTGTCAATCATTCTAAAAATGGATTATTTGCAGAAGTGATACAACGAAATATGACGAAAATGCTCGTTTTGAGTTTTCATTGTTCAACCAACGCCAAAAAAAACTACACGATGGATCGATTAAATGTATTTTCTGAATGATGATTAAAGTACTAACTATCAGAAAACAACATGGATTTGATGTTTCGAATTCATACAAATACGTAACAATTCAACTAAAGCTATGTATCAGTGAAATCCGCAATTACATAGTGGCCAAACCCATATTAAGTGTACCAAAATGTGAAATGTTTCCTAAAAATCAGTTTCGGTGCAAAAAGATTGACATCACAAATGTTAAATTCGTTTCGAAAAGCCAATGGATTGTAAATAATACTAACTATTTTGTTTCTTTCGTATTATACATGCAAATATTGAATCAAAAATTACTTTCGTTAAAATGTCGTGTGAGTGTTCAGCTTTGCTCACTGTATACCGAATTCCCAATCGATCTGTCATCGCAGCGAGACTAATTGACGAAAGGGAAAGAAGTTCATCAGACCTGGGTGGGGGGATAAGAAGGGTGGAAGGTTTTCAGCCCTGTTTTAGACCATCTGGAGAGTACGTACCCTCGTGCCAGTTTGACAGGGTGATCGTGCCTCCTGCTTCACGACGCCACGAGACCTTCGGTTCCGGGGTGCCCGTCGCGGCACACCGTAACGTCACGTTGCTCCCCTCCCGCACCACCATGTCCGTGCTGGTAAGGTAGTCCAGGATATCCGGGGGCACTGAAACAATGACCACATTGCAATGCTGTCAACCCACCACCCACGCGTACGCGCGTACCGGCACGCTCCACCGCGACGCCGTTCGCCCGGATAGATGGCTATCTGGCCAGATCTACCGATGTTTCGATATATATTCGCAAATATTCTACGCCAGGCGAGCATGCTGGTCCAGCCACCGACGAATGTGACTGTTCAGCGCACGGGAATCCGATCGTAAAACCTCGAATCCGCTCGAACTACCTGACACTGCCATAAGTTCCGTTACAAGTACGTCGGTGCCATTGTGTCAGGTCATCCTATGAGTAATAGCAATATTTTACCTCTTTTCGAACGACGCGATACGAAATAATTTATTTCCCATCGATAATCGCGATCCGGGTAGCTGCCAATGTAATTTGAGCGATTCGAGGGATAGGTACATTCGAACGATATTGTTATTAATACAATGCTCGTTAACGATCATTTTTTGAATCTTGTGCGAATTGTAATATGCCTGAAATTTTTAATTTTAATTAGAAATTGTATAAAATACCAGGAATTCAACGAACAAAAATTTTACATTTACGAAATTTTGTGGAATATTCGAGTATCGTTTTAAATCGTTTGCGAAAGCGGGGGAAATTTCCGATTCGAAACAATTATAAATTTTCTGGGTCTAAGTTGATTAAAACCTTGCAAGCAGGAGAATTGAATGGCCATCACGACCCTCTGGCGTGCTCGACTCCCCTCGTCTTAACGCGCACGACAAGGGTGTGCGATGATCTTTTGTTTTGCAGCATTGGCTCGCCATAATTGGCCGCGCTCGGGGACTTTAATCGCCATTTTAATCGCAGAAGGGAAAGTGTTTTGTTACGCACGGCCTGGAAATTTAATGGTATATCGCGAAGTGTGAAAATAATCGTGTCCGGGTATTTCAGTTTATAATAACAGAGCTCTCGACTTTAGGCGAAGGTAAGAGAAACGAGGAGTTAATGCATTCACAAAACGGTAGAGAATTTATTACGGTTCGCTAGACTTTTCATGTCAGTATCGACAATCTGTAATTATATTTCGGAGGAAATTTATTAATTTAAATGGCGTATTTAATTCAACGAAATATGTGTTTTCAGGAATGAATTGGAATTGCAGTTGAAGCTACAATAGAAACGTGATTCTGGCCACAGGGTTGAAACTGATCTCCATTGTGTATGTAAATACCAAATTATTTTTATTTTTGGTAATCATAGCTAGACTGTAGAGGTTTATGTCAATAAAATATGTCAAAATATGTAAGTAACATATATCAAATATGTGTCATATTATTAATTTAAATCAAATATGACATATGTCGAAATATACAGAAATATGCAAAATATATTCAAAATATGTTCCAATAATTTTATTGCTTAAAAATAATAAATAATAATAAATAAATAATAATATCGATAATAAATATCAAACATAATTTAAATTACAATACGTTACGAGTATTTTTTCAATATTGTCAAGAGATAGTTGATGACGTTTGTCATTTAAAGTCAATTTATAAGTTGAGAACGAACGTTCAACATTACAAGATGTTCTTCAACAATCTGACCTCGTAAAATTCGTTTCGGTAAAACCTGTCATATAAAAAATATATTTTTAAGGACCTCTAGTAATGAAATAAACTTCTATTTAAGTTTCACTCTCTTATCTATTTCCTAGGATCATATGCATTTGCATAAACAACCACAGCCTAATAATAATATGTACACAAAATATTTAACAGTGTTCGAATGACGTATATTATTGTGTATATGTATGTATAATAATAATAATAATAATATACATTTTATTCGGGGTGCTCGGCCACCCCTGGGAAAAATTTTAATGGGAGATTCTAGAGACCAAAATAAGACGAAAATCAAGGATACTAATTTGTTGATTGAGGCTTCGTTAAAAAGTTATTAATGTTTACAGTTCCACAACGATAAGAAATATACCGGGTGGCCGGAAATATTTCTATAACTTTTTAAAGAAGCCTCAATCAGTAAATTAGTATCCTTGATTTTCGTCTTATTTTGGCCTCTAGAATCTCCCATTAAAATTTTTCCCAGGGGTGGCCGAACACCCTGTTTACAGCGTGGGGCACATACCATAATAGTCTGTTATCTGTCACTTCCAATAGTTTGATGAAAAAATGTTTCAGACAAGAGTTTATCAGTTTCTGGTCAGTTACAAATCTAGATATAAAAAATGCTAAAGAAAATGTTTTTATTATAAAAAGTCAAGGTCATTTTCATTTTTTTAAATGGCATTGCATATTTGTTGTTTCATATTATTGTAACTCGTGTCAATATCAATTGAACGAACTGGTATATATACCATGATATTCGGTTGATCTCGACTTCATAAATTTAGGTTAAATCAACAGAAACGTTAATATCGAAAATTAATTTACTTCAATTAATTTACAATAAATGTTCGAATTGCAAACCATTTTCAATTAAGGTTCACTCTTTCATCTATTTCCTAGAATAATATGCATTTGCATAAACATCCGCAGTCTAATCATAGCAACCAGTGGAATATTGGTTTAAATTTTGAATTTAATTTCCTGAATTTCCGTGGGATAAAACCGAGTAATATCGAATCGCGAATGATATTTCTCATTAAATACAGAAATTTTTGTTACTTTATTTTTACCGCCGCCGATCCGTTGCTATGAATTCGATAAACGTTTCTCGGAATAAACAATTAATCGAAATTACAGTTATCCAGTAAGAAAGGTGGATGCAATTAAAACTGCAGTTGCGAGCGTATGGGAAATATTAATTACATTATAGCGGAGTGGGGAGTTCCGCGATGACGTCAAAGGAATTTCTCGAACAAGGCGAAAGTAATTCTGGAAAATTGGTTTAAAATACAGGAAATTCAACGTTTTACGGGGAAAAATGTAATTGCATCGTGCGACGAGCCACCGGGATAATATTAAAAAAATAAGCAAGCGTGGCCCGATCAAAGGTTCTGCGTTGGCTGGCTCGAGCCAACAATGAACCGAAATTAAATTTCGCCGCGCGCAAAGCAACGCGGTTCGCGGTTCCTTCGACGTTTCATTAATCGACACTCAACGCTTTCGGAAGTGAGGTTCGCAAGGCGTGAGAACGGAAAACGACCACCGAACGCATTCTTCGCGGGAATTCTGCGGGATGGAAGGAATTTCGTTCGCGGTTTGCTCTCAGCGCCCCAGGAAATAGAATCGAATATTGCCCCCTTGCACGCAGCCATAATGCCTGTCCGATTTTCTATACACCGAATTTACAAATAATTTACTCCTACAAAGACTCCAATAACTTTTAGATATTACAAGAAACTGGAATTCACGCGACGTTGGTTAATGTTTTCGTCCGAGGAAATTGTAGATCCTTTAATCAAGCATTTTATTGGGTTCACAATTATTTCAGGTACATATTCAGAAAAGAGTTTAGTTTATAGGGAGAAAAGTAGAATATGTGTTATTTTATTTTCATACTGTACCGTACGCGTTGAATTGTCTTCTTTTTAAAACGTCATTTTTCAGTACGATGTGAAAAAACCTGTTTCGAAGGAGACGCGTTTAAAGTTTAAGTAGTAAAGCTCACTCCGGAATTCTGTGTCAAGCTCTACGGAAAACGTTATGTCTTTCTAATATTATGAATTTCTGCCTCAATATGTTAGAACTCAATATGTTCTTTTATTAAACCGTAAATGTGGTGCTCCTTTTAAAAAGTTACCACAGGTTGAAGGTCGCAAAAAATTGATTGCATGGAGAAATTATTGACACTAAGTGTATAAAAAAACAAATTTCATAGTTTTTACAAATTAATTTGACTTTTATGATTCTGTTGTATAATTACCAAATATTGTAATTGACCTGTACATAAATTTTCTTAACAATTTTTTATATTAATGGTTTTAATCTAAAAGTGTCATTGTCAACTTATAGTTGTTTGCAAAAATTGAAAAAATTTGTTAATTAATGGTTGGTTCTACGTCGATATCTACGTTTCAACATATAATATTCCTGGTAAACGCTCACGGTAAGAAATAACATACTTCGGAGCACACAAGGCACTTACAATTAGCAGGAAAGGGGGATTTTCATCGTTGAAGGATTAAACTTCTCTAATTGGATAATATAAAGATTATTAGCCTGGAAGTGAAATCGTCGTATTACACAAAATATGAATATTGATAGAATTAGTCTGCCAAAGGAAATCTCAAAGGCAAAATCCATCGTTTTAGTGTTTTGTGTTGACTACTTTCGAAACAATTAGTTCAATGCTAGTAGTTAACACATTTAATATAGATTTGTAAATTCAGATAAATATTTTAAATAAAATTTTAATTGACATAAAAATAAAATATCATGGATTAAATGCTATAACCCGGTAACAGAAATGGCTGGCGTAAATATCTTTCTTTCAAATAGGATTCAATTGTTCTACAGCAGTGTTTCTTAAACTGTGGTCCTCGAGCCTTTGGGAGCCTGCAAGCTCTGAGAAAACACGAAGCATATTATTTAGAGGAATAAAAAAAATTTCCGCGCTAAGACCTTAAAACTTTTAATGACGTTCCGCGCTACACACTTGTTAGAACAAACCTTTTCTCCACAAACGTTATTTAAGTCCAGGTACAGGAACGGGCTAAATATGAAATCGACCCAGAAACTTTAGATTTGTCCAAAACATGTCGTTTTGAACAATATTAGGCACTATTGAAGCGATTCTAAAGATCTCCAGCTCTATTGCTGCACGTAGAGTTTCTACTAGGAAGAAGCTATCGAACGAAAAATATTCAAAAGCTACCACTGACCAAATCCCAGTTTCTCATGGAGATTGCTACTCCTCCAGATAGTCCCTTCCAAGACTGTTTGGTATCCTGTTCTTCTTGTGAGTTTCAAAATACGTGTTCGGAAGATAAAGTACCTCTATAACGAACTCCACGCAAGAAAAGGTCCCCGAGCGTAACTCGAACTTTTCAAGCAGGTTTTGCACGCT